TACTACCACTCCAATCACAAAGTGCAGGCAGCAAAGAAACCGCAAACAGTGCAGGTTGTGGGGTGTGGCTGCTGATGGCTCTCCCTTCTGCTTCTAAATATAAAGTTTTTCAAACTTCACCATGAAGTGACAGCCACCCCTTATCACTGAAGGCCAGCTGTTTCTTTAGCACTCAGCTGTTCCTGCTGCTTGCTCGTAGAAATGGAAAAAAGCTATTTAGAGACGCAAATCTGCAAAGCCTTTGAGCACATGTGTATCTTAGAGCCTGTCCTTCAGTTCTTAAAGTAATTCGGTTGATCTTCTTTCACACTCGTTTTACACCTCTGCACCTATGCTGACACCACCAAAGCCAGTCCTGGTTCACTGGCACAAATAACAGATCCAGAATGATTCATTCCAGGTATTTTAAAAGTTTTTATAGTGCCTCCTGAGAAGGACTCAGTTGAATTCACTCTAGGAGAAATAATCTTGGTAAAACTACTCGGCACAACATGCTGCTGCTCACTGTACAGAAAGCTCCTTCGACGCAACTACAGGTAAAAGTGCTTGTTTGGCACGAGCCAATCCATGCACTGTCCTTCTTAAATGCATGAGGGTTTACTCCAAATTTCATCCGCAGGGGCTCTGCATGTGTGCGTGCTTACACACAGGCCCATAGTTCAAGCAGACCAATGCAGTTTGTGACTCCTACGGCTGAGAGCCACCACGAACAGGGATCAGCTGGCTTTTGGGACTGCACTGGTCCCTATGTTGCAGTCCTTAACAGCACTGCACAACACATAGTCCAGCTGGCTTCAGTGGCCCCTCTCTTCCCAAAGCACCCCTTCCATCCAGCGAAGGGTGGAAGGACAGGGCCCCTGGGAAGTGCCAATACCATGTGAAATTGTGCTCGATCACCTTAAAACAACCGTCTTCCAAATGCTTCTGTATGTGAAATTGTGCTCGATCACCTTAAAACAACCATTTTCCAAATGCTTCTGTCTGCATTTAAAAGCAGAACGAGCCATCACCTTGAGTCTGATGGTTTTTACCCCAGGAGAGGTTAGGTTGCTGGGTTTGGGTCCCAGGGGGTGGAGGGGAGGGTGAGGGCTGAAGCTGCCGGGGGGTGAGCCCCAGCAGCCGGATCAGACCGAGCACCAGGGAGCGCAGTGAAGACAGTGCTTGGCGTGGGGTGCGCAGCGCGGGTCTGCACCCTCCTGAAGCACTGCCCCTGCACAGTGCTACGCTTGTTCGGACTCCTGTGTTTCTACAGCAAACGGTGTGTGCTCATAGCGGGGTGGGGAGGAGCGGGAGAAGCTTTAGGCCTTCATAGCCTCTGTAAATCCATACCTGAATCCTGGCCTTTAATACAAGCACATCCTGCTTTCACCCAGGTGCATTTATATGTTCATCTTCCTTTCTGGACATACGACTGATTCCACAGCGCGTGCACAAAACAGTTTAAGATACATTTAGACACATATACAAAGAAATACAGGAGCTCTGAACATCTGAGGTACTGCTAGATCGCCGTGGCTAGAGAACAACAGTGCCATATCTGTACATCTTTGCATTTTCTTTACTACATGCCCTACACACGTGGTCAGGCAAAGGGAACTTCCTTTCCTGTGTGGACAACACAGACCTATGCATATATGGTTTTATGCTATTTCATAACAGAAAGCGATGTCAAATGTGTAAACCTACTTCCAGTTGAGTCAACAGCAAAACTGCCATAAATTTCAATAGGTTTACAGTGAAAACAGTACTGTCTCACCCACGTGCAGCAGAATTTCAACAGTTCAAGCAGCAAGTGGAAAATGTTACAGCAATTTTTCACTGTTGCAATCTATGCACCGAATTCTCTTCTGCCTTGTAATTCATGGAGTCAGACTTTTTCCAAGCAGATATAAAATTTTCTTAAATTACACTCACAATCCTGCTTTCTTCACAGCCTTGTATTTTGTCTCACACCTGATGCCTGGACCAAACGGCAGTAAAATGTGATCTGTGTTTCAGCAATGTTCAAGAGCCGCATTATACTTGCCTATCTGAAGCAACAAGATGCAGACTAATAAATGATCAGGGGCAATGTATATGTAGTTTTAACACAATCCCATAAAAAGACTAACGCATAGTCCTTATTTTAATCTGAATCACTACTACCCTTTTAAAAGGAAACTGTAGCTGACATCTTTTGCCAAGGAATAAACAGAGGACAATATTCTGCAACCCTCCTGTATGCTGAATAGCTCTTACTCAAATAGTTCAATTAAAATCAATGGGACCACTTGTGTGCATAAGTGTTACTCTGCAGGAGGACTGATTACAGGCTTCAGCACTTTTGGCCTGGAGATGTACGAATGTGTGATCACAGCACAGCTTAAAACTACTTGCTCACGTTAAAACCAACCAGTTTTAGGCAACAGCTGTGTGGCAGCTATCTGAGATAAGGGTGCGAAGTTAGCAGCGCAAATAGGGTGGTGTGGACAAGAAAGGTGCTGAGCTCCTTCCTGCTCAGGCCGTACACCAGGAGCCGGGCTATTCTGGTGGATGGCTTCTGTGTATCCAAATGACGAAAGGCAGCTGAATGTGCTGGCAAGGGTTGGAAAGCTGGCAGTAACTCTGACTGCATTTCTGAGAGCTTTCCACTGTTTCTTTTTTCAGCAGGTTAGACTATTGTGTAGAGTTTAGTAATTCTGTTCAATCTCCGTGCGTGTTTTTGCAGTACTGCTCTTTTACTCTCTCGCCTGCGTGCTGTAAGGGGTCAGAGAGGTATGTGCCAGACACATTTTTACAGCATCTCTAGCAGCCCATTCATATCGTCTTTTTCATTCCAACTAATTTCTTGCCATACTTTCCACTACGAGAGCAGGTGAGGCTTTTCCTTCAGTTGCAGCCATACGCCAACATCCTTCTGACTTACAGCCCTGACGGTAAGGGAAAACAGCATTGCAATCTGCTTGAAATGTCAGCCAGCTCTAGGAAACCCCTCCCGCATCGGCAGTGGTGAGAAACCCCACACTGGGGACACCAAGAGTGCCCTGCCTGGCTGAAGATGCACAAGGGCCCAACCCAAGGGCCCGGTGGCGCCCTGGGGCCCTGCGCTCGCCGACGCCTGGGGAGGTTGGGGGTTTGCCCTCGTCGCCCGCCAAGCTCCCCGCCACGAGGAGGCCCCTCCTCACGGCCGGCTGCCCCACCTCCCTCGCGGGGTCCCTCTGCCAAGGACCCCGGGCCCCGCTTCCCTCCCCCATGGCCCGGAGCGAGCATCGCGCTCGTATTTACTGGGAAAAATAAAATTTTGTGGGGGAAAACTGCCCGGCGCCGGTGGGACACGGGGCGCTGAGGTGCGGGCCCGGCGGCCGGCATGGCTCAAGGCCCCTCCCGCCG